GAAAGTTGGACCCTTTTTTTTCTCCAAGTTGTCTAAGAGAATAATTTTGTCCCCTGAATTTGAAATAATTGGTAGAGACATAGTAGAGAAGTGCAAAGGATTACCTCTTGCAATTACTGTGGCTGCTTGACTCCTCTCAAACTCCAACCAAACCTTTATTGAATGGGAGCGTATTGCAAAAAGTGTTCCTGCTTTAAGTTTAGATCATTCTAATAACCGGTGTGAGAACTTCATTGATTTGAGTTACACCTTCTTACCACATCATCTTAAAATTTATTTTTTGTCATTTGGGTGTTTTCCGGAAGGTCGTGAGGTTAATGAAGATGTGATTGTTGATTTTTGGGTTTCAGAGGGGTTTCTAAAGGTTTTGAGGTCTGAGAGCTTGGAAGGAGTGGCAAGGAGGAACTTACAAGATCTTGTAAACTGAAATCTTGTTCTAATTTGTGGAAAGGAATATTATAATAAATATCAATTGCATGATGTCTTGCGTGAATTGGCCTTGAGAGAAGCTGAAAAAGAGAATTTGTTGTGTTTCAATGAGGGTCATGCCCAAGGTTTGAGGTATAGGAGAATTCAACCGAAAAACTCTTCTCGTATATCTCAATCATGGAGTGTCCAATCAAGAATTTGCAATCCCAACAATATAACTCCTACTAGCACCACCTCTTCACTCGTTGATTTTTTTAAGGGACTTCGTGATCACTACTAGTCGGGTGCATTCACATTTCAAGTTTTTAAGGGCATTCATAGAACCTCTGGACTTATCTGACTATAATATTTTGTTGTGTTCCCGGGCAAAAGCACGCGTCAAGGGGCGATAGATTGGTGTTTTGGTTGGCACCGGTTTGCCTATGGTGGGAAAGGCGTTGGAAGCAGAAGAACAGAAAAGATAAAGAGGGTTTTATGGAGTTTCCTTCTCCTTGTTTTCTTATAAATTCTGGCTTAATTCATTAGCAACACAAACCTCTCTTCTTATAGCAGAGAGTTACACTTTCCTAAATTAACAAAAGGAAACTTAGACTAAATAAGCTAATATAGAAACTAACTAAACTGATCTAGAAAAAGGAAACAAAGACTAACTAAAACATAAAAGGAAAGGAGAATCATTAAAGCTCCTTACCATAATTATTTGCTATCTCTAAGGAACTAAATCAATTCTAATAGTAAAGAACATATCATATTTGTTTGGAGATTATGAGTCTAGTGCATTTGAGTTGGTTAACTTTTCGTTGTTGGTTGAATATTCATTATTTGCCTTTGTTCATGTTGTGAAATCTACAGAAACTTGTAGTTACTGTGATACATTGTGTGAACCCTTAATATTTGGGCTTTACCTCAACTAAGGATTCTCATTATTACTGGTGTGGTTTTATTAGTTCCTCCAAGATCAGATCATCATAATTTGGAAAGCATTCAAGAATTAGATTGTAGGAGTTGTACAAAAGAGTTGTTCTTGAGAATCCCAAATCTAAGGACATTGGAAGTTACTTCTCATTTTAGAACTAAGGTGCATTATCCAAAATGCAATGCTCCCAATTGGTTTGAAAACCTTGTCTATTTATATAACCTGGAAGAACTAGGGATTGCTGAACATCTTAGTGATTTGTTCAAAACTATTTATTCTATAGGGATACTGAGTCTAGAGAATTTTTTGCCAAATCTTTGTTGGAAATAACTGCTTGTAATCTGTAATACATTTGAGATACAACAATAATACAGAATACAACAGGGAACAAAAACTGGATCATTTGATATCTTCAGGCGTGTAATCACTTTCCTATAAGCTTTAAATCTCCCTCTATAAAAGCAACAAGGTTCAAGATTTAATCTTATGGGATACAAGAAGATGAATGAAACTCTGAAGTTGCTTCGTTTGAGAATTTCCTGTAGAATTGTAAGCCTGTGAAGTATTTTGGTTCCCTGCAAATTGATTGCCTCCATCAATTGCCTGTTTTCTTTTTCTCTGTATTCTTCAGATGTTTCTCCAGATATTTATATAAAATAAATATAGCAGTTAGGAGAAGTTACATGGAAGTTATAGGAGTTCAAAACTCAACTTCCATAAGATATATCTTATCTGATATATCAGGCATGGGAAAAATATATCTGAATATTATAAATATTCATATGATATGGACCTTCGTAGGTTCATGCACTGCATACAAAATAACAAAGTAAAAAAAAAAAAAAAAAAAAAAAAATATATATATATATATATATATATATATATATATATATATATATATTAATACTTATATGCACGCAGCAGACACAAATTAACCACATTGCTTTTTGAAATTAACTTTCGTTAATTTCATGCGGCCGAAAGGAGCAAACCATTTTATGCATCAATTCGTGTACTTCTTTGGTCAAGACGAATTCATTGTCAAAATTCAATAAATGATTAAGCAGCACACGAAAGTTACGCATGCACCGATTTATTAAGTAACACGAATCGTATCCATTCGTTGAGCACGAAAGATTCGTGTAACCCAACGAAACAAACAAAATGCATGTCATCAACTCGTTAAATCCGAATCTTTCGATTCGTTAAATTAACAAATTTGATACAACCGAATCCATCGTTTGAATAACGATTTGTGCACAACGATTTGTACGCAACATTCATATTTCCCAACTTACTTTATACCAAACCAAAATAATATTTATATCTCCACAACTCCAAATATTATTTAAGCTTTCATGGTAGTTCATCTGAAACATTAATCTCCATTACTATATAAATTTCCAACATTCCTCCTCCATTTATACAGTAAAAATTAATACTGTACCAAGATAAATCCAAAACTCATGCATAAATGAAAGTGTCTTAGAGATTGAACTTTCACATAGTGTTATATGCGTTACATTAATTCGGATTGCAGTGATGGACGAATCTTGAATCACGGAGTCTCTTTGAAGAAACGTAGATATAACACACACAAGTTTTACAGTCATTACAACTCACTGTAACTTGACACTATTAAGGTCATGTGTCCGTATCCATTAATGAGCACATACCAAGTAAAGCCCAACTTGTTTGAAGCGGCCACACTTCATGCTCACAGAGGCTAATCTTTTATCTCATGCACTGCATCTTGCATTTTTTCAAAAGATCAGTTAAAAGTAAAAACTCATCCCTACAACAATGCAGAACCAAGCATCACCTTTTCTTTGGATACAATTTTAATTAAACTTTTGATGCTTGCAAATCACAAAATGAAGTACTCATCTACATTGAACTCAAGGTCTAACGTAATAACTTAGACTTGAGTTGAGCTTTCCTTCACTTGCAATTAAATAATTAGGCTTTCCATATCCCTTTCGATGTACCATGTCCCTTGCAAGGACTCTTGCAAACGGATCCGTTAAAATAAACCGGGACCGTACAAAGTGCAGTGCTACAACACCATTACTTAGGAGCTCCCGCACATAGCTATGTCTCATGCCTATGTGTCTTAACTTGCCATTATAACTTATTGTTATATGCTTTGGCTAGTGTAGTAGCGCTGTCACAATGTACTAAAACTGGTGACATTGGTTTTGGCCAAACCGAAATCTAAATAATCAAATTCCTTAGCCAATCAACTTCTTGCATGTCAAAGCCAACGTAAGAAATTCAGATGCCGTAGTTGAAAAGACAACTTTGCCTTTAGAAATCCATAAAACAACACATCCTCCAAGTAGAAATATCCATCTACTAATTGAGGAACAAGTTTCATGATTAGACATTCAACTGACATTAGAAAATCTTTTCAGGATAGAAATTTCTATTAAATATACTAAACCATAATTAATGGTTTTATTCAAGTATATCAAAATTTCTTTTAATCCCATCCACTTAGCCAACTGAACATGATGATAGATAGAATTTTAATATTCTATTAATGAACTGGTGAAATAAAATATTTAATTGATTATACCGTAACCCACTTTATAGGTTCCTAGTCAATAAATATTTATATCCTGCACAAATTCTACAACCAAGAATTTCAATCATCATGTTGAACTTATTAGCAGTGAGAAATTTTAAAATAAAAATTCAACCTCCTTCATTTGAGACATCATCAACTTTGGAGAATAAACCTCCTCCATTCAGAGAACATCAACTTTGGAGAATAAACCATTTTTGATTTTAAGTTTTTAACTTCTCATGTTTCTTCTAAACTGAAGAATCATATCAACTTAAATCATAATCCATGATTTAAATTTAAACTTTCTTTTCACTGCTAACTGTTAGCCATAGTAGATAAACTAGTAAACTTTTTGGCTTTCAGAATTTTAACACATTCTCAATATGAGAAACTTTGTGTTAAAGGCATTCATAAATTTTATGAATTTCATTATGCATATATCATGCATAAAACTTTCTGCATTCCATAAGAAATATAACAGAATATTTCAAAGGCATTGATGGCTTTATCAGAAATATTAATAACATAATATTTCAAAAGCTTTCACAAGGATAAAAAAAACATCCGTGTGCTTAAATAATCAATAATTCCATGCATGACATTAAAATTATTTCCAACATACAATCATTAGACATTGTAACCATGCAAAAGAAAACAACAAATTGATAACACCAAATTAATTCAAATTTGGCAGATTTACAGCACCCCAAGATCCAACATAATATATAGAACAAATTGCACTTTTGGTCCTGTGAGTATTAGGGTACTGACAATTTGAGTACGTGACTTTCAAAACTCCCAATTTAAACCTTTAACTATGCAAAAATTGGCAGATTTGGTCCTCCGGGCCAAATTGCCGGCCAATTTTGGCCGGAAAAACATAAATTGGTTCAAATTTATTTGTATTGAGGGCAAAATCGTCATTTCACTCCCTTCTTCTTCATTCTCCCTTTCTTCTTCGTTCTTCTTCTTCTTCACTCACCGGTTTTTCTTCAAAATCATCATTCTTTTGCCTGCTATGCACTATAGGGAAATTCAAAAGAAAAAAAAAAAAAGAAGCAGATTATAGTAATTTCTTTCTCCGAGTTATCGCCTCTTCTTTCCTTTCTTCCTTCCTTTCACTTCTTTCTCTAAGCTTCTGACCTTCTGACTGAGAAGCGCGGTTGGCTGTATCTGTTGGCTCGCAGTTTTGGTTGCTTCCACAGCTGCTTGTTTCGCTTCGTACTCTTTAGCCGCTGCAAGCTTCTTAACCGCTTCAAAAAACGGGAGGCCTGAACTTTGATCAGCGCGTGGAGGTGCCGGGGGTATTATAGGTACACCGAGGAGTTTCTTCACTTGAGGCCTTTTAATTACTGATAAAACAAGGTAACGGACAGTGTTATAACTTAAAGAGAAAATATTGTTACCCAAAAGCTTGGCCTGGCAACTGGCATCTTTAGAAATGAAAATAGATAAAATTTGCAGAGCAAGTACCTTTGGGAAACTTGCAATAAATGGGATTGATAGTGCGGCCATTGCTCTTGAAACATTTTTTATGGTGCCATACGAAGGATTTCCTTCCATTCCTTCTTGTGCATTACACTGAGGAAAGAGCAAAGTACAAATTCACAAATTAACTACAAAAATTTGGGATTGACAGTGCGGCCATTGCTCTTGAAACATTTTTTATGGTGCCATACGAAGGATTTCCTTCCATTCCTTCTTGTGCATTACGCTGAGGAAAGAGCAAAGTACAAGTTCACAAATTAACTACAAAAATTTAAGACCAAGGAAGATGCTTTCAAAGCATCAAAAGTGACCCCAAAAAGCATCATCTATCCTTCTGAGATTTTGAACTGAAAAATGTTGTTTTGCACTTTTGCAATAACATACAAAAGAAGATGGAAAAGGCGATAAAATTTGTATCTGATTAAGTTAGTAAGAAATGGGCACATAATTATGAAATGAAATCTGACCTCCACTGTTATCCACGAAGAAGAAAGGGAGAATGAAGAAGAAGGGAGTGAAATGACAATTTTGCCCTCAACACAAATAAATTCGAACCAATTTATGTTTTTCCGGCCAAAATTGGCCAGTAATTTGGCTCGGAGGACCAAATCTGCCAATTTTTGCATAGTTAAAGGTTTAAATTGGGAGTTTTGAAAGTCACGTACTCAAATTGTCAGTACCCTAATACTCACAGGACCAAAAGTGCAATTTGTTCTAATATATATGTATCTTGTATACTATGCATGCAACTGAGACAAAGTCTCAATATAAAAATATTTATACACATGCATAAACATATCCTTGTATTTAACAGGCTTTGCAAATCTCAAAAGAATCTCATGCAAATCTTCTAGACATAATCCAAAACTTAGCCAAATAAATAAATAAAACTTACGTACCTGCCAAGGCCGAGACAAACATATAAAAGGTACTGTACTGAACTCATCTGGTAACTTGTATCTGCCTTGATAATCCATCTCTCTCCGGCCTTTGATGCGCTAAGACCACTCACCCCACCGTGGAAAGAACATCTCTTCTCATGCCAATTAAAACATGGCTAACAAAATGATTTATTTAAATAAAATCATTTTACACATCTCACTAATCATCTTGGCATAATTTGATATGCCCATGATTTTGCGTGAAAACGGAAATGAAACTTCATAGCATGTATTCAAACCATAAGTACAACATGTACATAGCATGCCATGAACCCCATGCAAAACCGCACGGAAATCTTCTTGTACAATAAACAATGAGAAACCCAAAAGTGATTTCTGTCATCCTCTCATCAACAAATTCAGAATCTCATTCCGAAAATATTACCGTGATGAGAACTTATTCTTTCATGCCTGATATCTTGCCTCCAAAACTTTCAAGGCAAGACCAATGATCACAGTGTTTATAAAAATCTTTAAAGCTTATAGATTGTTGGAAATAACTGCTTGTAATCTGTAATACATTTGAGATACAACAATAATACAGAATACAACAGGGAACAAAAACTGGATCATTTGATATCTTCAGGCGTGTAATCACTTTCCTATAAGCTTTAAATCTCCCTCTATAAAAGCAACAAGGTTCAAGATTTAATCTTATGGGATACAAGAAGATGAATGAAACTCTGAAGTTGCTTCGTTTGAGAATTTCCTGTAGAATTGTAAGCCTGTGAAGTATTTTGGTTACCTGCAAATTGATTGCCTCCATCAATTGCCTGTTTTCTTTTTCTCTGTATTCTTCAGATGTTTCTCCAGATATTTATATAAAATAAATATAGCAGTTAGGAGAAGTTACATGGAAGTTATAGGAGTTCAAAACTCAACTTCCATAAGATATATCTTATCTGATATATCAGGCATGGGAAAAATATATCTGAATATTATAAATATTCATATGATATGGACCTTCGTAGGTTCATGCACTGCATACAATATAACAAAGTAATATATATATATATATATATATATATATATAGGTAAAAGTTCAGGTGTGAACTTTTGTTAATGTGTGCACTTGTGCACTCATTATGACCGTGGGATTGTCATGATCTATGGTTGCAAATTAGAGTGCATAGACTCCGGGTGCACCTCGCCACTCCCACCATTTTATTAGGTGCGCATTGTGGGGGAGTCAATTTGTAATTTGTCTGGGCGGGGTAGTCGGGGGGTTGTGAGATGGTGTTCATCCAATTAGGTGACAAATGCACACCTACATGGTGGAGCACGGGAACTACAATGCACCAAGACTCCCACCGTCGGATCTCTGTGATCAGTGCACCACAATAGTCCACTAGTTCACATTTAAGTAAGAGTGTGCACCAGAAAAGCTCCCTATAATATATATATATATATATATATATATATATATATATATATATATATATATATATATATATATATATATATATATATATTAACTCATTGCATGTTAACATGCAAAATAAATAAATAATAGAGTTAATTCCAGCAATGGTCCTCCGACTATTGCAATTTTCCAAAATTGGTCCTTGACTTTTAATTTGGACGAAAAAGACACTTGACTTTGTAATTTGTTCCAGCAAAGGTCCTTCTGTTATCCATCCATCTCTTAACCGTTAGTTTAAGGGGCAAAATAGTCTTTTCCATTAGTTATCTTCTTCTTCCTCATTTTAGACGCAGAGAAGCAATGCCTCACGAATTAGAAATAAGGAAGCCATGAAGACATTAAGTATACCTCATGAACGTCTTTAGCAGGTCTTGTAGATGATAGTGAAAGGAAATCAATTTTGTTTTGAACTCCCCATGAGCTTATGGCCTTAAAAATAGTTAAACATATAAGTGTGATTCTCTGGTTGGCTTCAGAAAAGAAATACTCAATTTTCAATTCTTTGTACAAAGATCACCAAGTAAATTTCCCGAAAATTAATTATGTCTTCTAACATAACATCAGAGATATAAAAGATAAACATTCTCTGCAGTTGTCAAAAATTATTATTTCCTCTTTATCTTTATTAGGGAGATCAATATGAATTTGAGAAGCATGCAAGAGTGAACAATGAACCAGTCAAAGTTGCTGAGTTCTTTATGAAAAAATATAAGGAGCAACACACACAGTAATGTTGTAACGTATGTTTGTAACACCGGGAAATTGTAACGCAGTTTGGGCGAAAACCCTAATCTGCGAGGCACTTCTCAAATTGAGAATTAGCCTAAATTCACTATGAGCAATTTCAAAAGTACAGAGTATAGGAAGAAGAAAACTTTACACAATAGATCTCACAAGCTCTCATAATCTATTGTAACCTAAACTCTCGTACTACTCCAAAGTGATAGACTCTCTTTCTCTCAATATATCTGTATGCACTCGGTCAGATGATTCGGGTAAAATCGCTGCCTCTATTCTTCTAAGAGTCTTTCTTAAATAGGTGATACTTGATCACAATCCTAGTTAAAGTATAAATCCCAATTAGATTAGGATTTGAATGATGCTTGTAGTTTGACTGGGAGACAAGTCCCAATTAGATTAGGATTTGAATGATGCTTGTAGTTTGACTGGGAGACAATTGAATCTGTGTTTTCAATTATCCTTTTTGCCAATAATATTTTTTGACAATTCTTTATTCAACAATCTCCCCCTTTGTCAATATTTTTGGCAAAAACCTTGATTCCTGATTTTCTTGAATATCTCCCCCTTAGTCCTTGCTGTCTAGTAGTCTGCTTATCACAATCTTCAAGTGGTAGTTTTGATTTGAAGTGATTGGTGATATTGTCAAGTGTTTAAACTGTCTTAGTCCAAGGATTAGTAACCTAGGCAGTTTTTCCTAATAATGCACATAGTCATTTGCTATTGCAATTACATTAGTATGTTATCTTGATAGTAAGACAGGACACAAAAGATAGTCTTTCTAATGATGCACATAGTCATTTGCCATTGCAGTTACATTAGCATGCTACTTTAATAGTAAGACAGAGCACAAAAGATAGGCAGATGTCAAAAAGATTGCCTTGGTAGTATCAGTATCAAGCAGTATCAAAAAAAGGCATAATAGTAAGCAGTCATCAGTCATCATCATAATAGTAAGCAGTCATAAGCAGTCATCATCATCAGGATTCATCTCCCCCTGTTTTTGACAAAAACATTTGACAAGTTCAGTCTGAGTCAGAGGATGTTGCTTCTGGGGTTCCAACAGCCTGTTCTTCTTCTTGGCTTCCTTCTTGATTTTCTGCATCATCTTCTTGGGACTTTTCAGTCTCTCCTTCAGATTCTTCTTCATCAGCATTTACTTCTTGGGATTTTTCAGCTTCCTTATCAGGCTCTTCTTTATTGTTTGCTCCTAAGGCTGTAAGCCATTTGAGTACTTCAACTTTCTCTTCTTGGATTTCTAACTGTCTCTGCTTTATGTACCTTTCAGATGTATTAAGCTCATTGAGTCTTTTCTGGAAGTATTTTTGAAGCATATCAGTGTTCATGGGGTCATCTTCTGGACTTGTGGTTTTCAGGTCATTTTGATGAAATCCCTTTTTCAGTTTAACAGATACATTCAGGGTTTTGATCTGTTGGAGATTCTTCTTGGTAGTCTTCAGTCCTTGTTTGGTGAGGATGGTTTGGATTAGGTTTGGAAAGATTAGAGAGGCTTTGGGAGATTTGATTTCAGCTAGATTCATGATTTGTTGATGTACCAGTTCTCCATAGCTGATTTTGATCTTTTTCCCAACTTTGTATAATAATTCTGCCAAGCTCCATTTCACAGTGTTCTCATGTAAGGAAGGCATCCAGTTTGCCAGAGCAATTTTCTGTAGGATTGCATATTTGCTTGTCAGGCAGGCAGCTTTGATCTTCTTCTTTTCAAGGACTACATTTCCTGCTGTGATCTCCTGGGTTATGATGTCCCCATTATGATTGAATTGATCATCTTGTTCAAAGGTGTTGTAGCAGGTGTTTATAACATCTGGGGAAAAGTCATAGTAATTTCCTCTTAGGTAAATTTTTCCATACAAAGGACTTGATGGGACTGATGATTCCTTTTTGAGATTGCTATAAAATTCATGAATCATTTTTTCTTCAAATGGTTCAATCTTTGTGACTGTGTCAAGCAACTTTCCTTGAGCTAGGAGTTCTATGATGTGTTCTCCATCTTTAAGGTTCTCCAGATTGACCAGCTTTTGAGGGATGATTTTTCGTTGTGAGGTTTTGTGCCACAGATTGCTTGAAGCTCTATCCTGGAACTGGTTGTTGAGAGGTTGTGGCAGATCGGGTGTTGGAAGTGTGGTTTCAACATCTATTTTTGCTGTTTGTTTTCCCTTTTCCTTTGATGTGAACTTCCTTCGTGATTTGCCCTGATTCTTTGAGACATTTACCTGGGGCTTTTTGGACCTTTCATTCTGGCATTCTTTACTATTTTCCCAGTCATCATCAACTTTTTTTTGTTTTCTTTTAGCAGTCCTAGTCATCCTTGGAGGTGGGATGTTAGGTATCCTTCTTGGAGGTCCCACAGAGATTGGAAAATCACATGGTCTTTTAGCTCTGGGGTCAGCTCCTTCATACGGATCCACTCTTCTTCTTTTTCTTAGGAATTCATCAGGATTAGTTTCATTTGGGCTTGTTTTGTGGCCTTCTACTCTTAATTCAGTAGAAATATTGTCTAGCTCTTTTTCAAAGCTGTCAACTGTGTCTGAATTTGTAACCCTAATTTCTGGGTTAGATTCTGATTCCCTAATTTCTTCCTCATTTGTAGGGAGTTTTTCTTGTGGCACTAAGTTTTCACTTTGTTGGTGTATGATTTTGTCTAGGTCAACTATCAATTCCCCAAATATACCCTCTGAACCAGTCGGTTCTGTTTCTGCAATCGGGTTTGATTCTGCAAGTGGGTTATCATCTAGGGGTGATTCGAGAGGGGGAGATGAGTTACCTGGTTGAGAGTAGATGTCTTCGAAAGGTATCTGTGTGATTGGTACTGGATCCATGACTATATCCTCCGAGTGTTGTGGCTGATCGAGTG